TGATCGCGATGGCGCCTCTTGCTGTGGTTCATGGGCTCTAGCCTCTTGGGCTTCAGTAACTGCAGTGTGTGGGCTCCGGTCACTGGGGCGCACAGGCTTAGTTGCTCTGTGGAATCTTCCCGGACCAGGGATGGAACTGGTGTCCCCTGCATTGCAAAATGGATTCTTAACCACTAGACCACCAGGGAAGCCTCTCTCCTGCTTTTTAGGACCCCTGTGATTACCCTGGGCTCACCTGGTTACTACAGGATCATCTTCCTACCTTCTGCTTAGCAAACCTAAATTCTGTCTGCGAAGTCCCCTCTGCAATGTACAGAAACATACTCACAGATGGAATACTGAGGGTGAAATCACAGACACAATAGCCTGCCTACCTGAATATATTTTCTTAGTTATTTTGTTTATTGTCAATCTTCTTCTAAAATCTGACTCTCCGGTGTCCCCAAACCTTGAATAGAGCCTGGCACATGTAGGTGTTCGATATATGTCATTCAAATATTTGTCAGATGAATGAATGAATGAATGAATGAATACAGGCTGGGTAATTAGTATCAACTTTCCTGTGTGGCTCAGTGGTAAAGAATCTGCCTGCCAATGCAGGAGATGTGGGTTCGATCCCTGGACTGGGAAGATCCCCTGGAGAAGGAAATGGCAACCTACTCCAGTATTCTTGCCTGGGAAATCCCATGGACAGAAGAGCCTGGTGGGCTACAGTCCATGGGGTCGCAAAGAGTCAGACACAACTTAGCAACTCAACAACAACAACAGTTGGTATCAACATGTGCTTTCCCATTGGTGCATATCTCAGACTTTCTCTTCCTCTTTCAAAGATGGCCTTGGTGTTCATTGTAACCTGATTTTATCCAGTACAGTGTGGTTTTCCCTGCCCCCCCCCCGCCCCCCCCGCCCCTCACACCACTGCTTACAGCTCCACTAGTGAAGAGGATTGGGAGTAAAACCATGTCATCTTTTCACGGGAACTCCTGGTTGACACGCAGCGGACACATCCAGAGGGAACCACAGACAGGCAGAGCTCAGAGACCTCAGGCACTGCCCAGTGGGACGAAATGTCCGCTGACCCCTTGGAACCAAACTCCAGGGAGAGCAGAGCTAGTCATGGGGCTGCGCTAAGCATTGTTTAACTCAGTTAAAAAAGAAATAAAGTTTAGTCTGCCCATGTCAGTTAACTAATGAACATTTCAAAAATGAATCTTCCAGATGTTTCTAAAGATTCTGTGGCTTGCTTGATACAATGTAGCCTGTCTAAATCCTTGGATGATAAAGATGTGAGCTGGTGAGAAAAGTCTGAGGCACACACAAGGAACAGGTTTGCCGCTTGGGTTACAGTGTGGAAAATTTTTCTGGAAACAGATTTATGTATTAGTTTTTCACTTTGCCACCAGATGTCCTTCATGAGTAGGAAAATATGATGGCTCGCATGATATTTTGAAGTGTGAATGCCCAGCATTTTTGAATAGTTGACAGTAAAAGGAAAGTGTGAGTGAATGCAAGTGTTACCACAGACTTCTGGATGAGACCTGTATTTTGAAGGCTGCCTTACAGGTGTAGCTTTCAGAAGCAATGTTTATTTAACTCTCAAATTCTCATTTCTCATACTCTGCAAACATTTACTTACCATATTTCCTTTTCATGCAACTCCAAATTGACATTTTGAAAGTCTGAGCAAATTATTATATTGAGAAATTCAAGTTAAGAAATACTCAAATCCTTACAGGGATGTAGAAGATAAAAATGCAGTATTTTTAAGCAGACCGGCCCAAGGATTCTAGGCAACCAGACCTCAGGCTTTTAAACTCAAGAGCAGCGTAGCTTACAATGCTTCTATGTTAGATTAATTCTAAAAGCAGCTACTTACATCTTTCAGAAGAAAGTCAGTTGAAAGGGGCCCAGGTATGATTTAGTACACAAATCAAAGACTGCAATTGCAGTTTATTGCTAATAATATAATTCAAAGGAAAGCATAGAGTATAGAATATTTGATGTGCCAAATTAATAGCAGCGTCTTTTTAAAATAGAAATTATTTGGTCACGTGTGTCATAAATGTAAACTGGAAACCCTCATAACATGAAAGGAACATGGGTAACTGCTGTCATAAACACTCTGTCCTGTGAGCTACCCTGGTCCTGACAGAGCCCTGGGTACAGGATTCTCATCTTACCCCCCTGTCACCAAAGGCCCAGGGCAATCCTTCGCTTTACAGCAGGGGTTCCTCACTTCCCTGCTTCGTGGGCAGGGCTGGGACTGGCAACCTCTTCCAGAAAACGGAAGGCCATCTGCATGAAATGTCAGCCAAGCCACCAGATGTTTGATAGGGATCGGCTTCCACATCCGGCTTCTTGACCGAATTCCTCGTGTCTTTCCACCCAGATGTTCTGGAGAACTGCAGAGAACTTGAGGAAGCCGGGCCAGGCCCACACAGCAGAGGGGCAGTGATATTCTGGCGTCCTGCAGGGGGCGAAGCTCCCTCTGATGTCCCCCCATCACACAGCCCAGCCGACTCCGAGGGGCAGACCTGTTCCCGGTCCTTCCTCCTTCCCTCCTGAATCATATCTGGACTTGACCCAGCACCTAGTCCTGGGACTTCTGGAGGAGGGTTGGAGTGGGTGATGGGCAGGGGTCAGAGAAACAGGGAGGGGGTGAGGTAAGATGGTGGTTTGGCGTCCCTTATCCCCCTGGAGTTGAGATTGGCTTGAAGAAGCAGTGGTCCCAGTTTTGACTGTATGAAAATTTCAGAATCATATCTCCTTATACCTCTTCCCCCTAACGGATCCAAGGCCATGTCTGAGTGTTTTCTGACAAACATGTGCACACGTCGGGGGCGGTGGAGATGTGAGAAGAGCGCATTCTCTTCTGTGGTCCTTGGTCGAATGTCACCGTCTTTATGACCACTGTCATCTCTCACGTCATGTGTTTCCCCTCTGGCTCTTAAGAGAGTCATGTGCTCTTGTGTATGTCATTGGGAGGTACCCCCTTGTTTCTAGCATCACACTACAGGACCTGAGAGTACTTCTTGGCGGAGCCCGTGGCAGACCTGAGTCAGGGTTGCTACACTGATGTTGATTGCAAATCACTAAGGGCTGTTCTTAGACCCAAGTCATACAGGTCCATCTACCTCTTACCAAGTATCTGAGAAAAGGAGAAGGTGGTGTGCTTGTGTGAGTTCTCCTCTGGCTCATAAAATAGGTGCGTGTGCAATAGTGGGTCACGGTCTGCTTTTGTGTGTGGAAGGGCACAGACCTCCCGAAGTGCCTTATGCTCAGGGTTCTTTGGTTTTCCAGTGCTTTCCTCACTGCCCTGACAGGCTGGAGCTGCTTCACTCTGCTTGTGTCTCACTAGAAGTCTTAAGAAGGCATGACTGGGCTCGAGAAAGGAAGAAGCCCACATATACTTGCTGAGACTTCAGATCTTCTGATCAGAGCTCTTGGGGGCTGCAGTGTTATGCACTGCAATGACCTCACGCTGCTAACAGGTCCCAGCAGAAGAAAGAGGGAGATGGAGGCTCTTGAATCCTAAGGGGCCTGGAGTCCCAGACCAGGGGAATGATGTGTTCCTTTTTTCAGATGAAAGCAACCCCTGCAGATGGTTAGAGATTGGCCATCAGTGTGGCTGATGTTGTCTTGCCTGAAAGCAATGGCTACGGGACATTTGTAAAACCGAAGTCTGTCCTGAAGACCAGTGTGTCTGGGCTGAAACAGGACAACAGATAAGAGCAATCCACTGGGTGGTGGGGTGATGGGAGGTAAAGACATTTACCCATTCAAAACAGATTCTTTGAAACAAGATAAAAATGCTTGTAAGGCTTGAATCAGCAGAAACCTCATGATCCCGTAAGATCACAGACCCCATAAGTCTCTATGTATTTGGTTGGTCTGGCTCCCAAAGGCCTTGGACTCTGTGCACCAAGACAGCCAGGTCAGTATTGATTTCTAAGGTGTATGTTTTCACCAGGTAGATAAAAGATCAAAATGTTTTATGAGAACTTCCTTCTAAGATGTACCGATAACTGACATTTTTGGATGGGAAGAGCAAATGAATTTGCATCCTGGATGGCAGATGGTGGTGGTGGTGTTTGGGTGGAGGGGCAGTGTCTTTAACTGAGAAGTGAACCTGTCATAGAATTATACATGTTTGATCTTGTCTAATGTTCCCAGCAACCAGTTTCAGGGCCCTCTATAATGCGAGCATGCCAAGCCCCTATAGTTACTGAAATTACCTGTATCACCTCACCCCAAGTTTTACTGATCTTGCCTCATGTGAAATAGAGTGTATTTCAATACATTAAGATGCAGCCTTAACAGACAAAATGGAGAAGCACTGAAATCTTTCCAAGAAGATGGCGGTGGGGGCGCGCTTTTCTATTATAGAATCTGATTATACCAGCTTTCTTTTGGGTGCTAGCTTAAGAAGTGAAGTGCCAGTACTTAGTCGCTAATTTATTTCATAATCTTTATCCCATGGGCTGTGGCCCACTAGGCTCCTCGGTTCATGGAATTCTCCAAGTAAGAATACTGGAGTATGTTGCCATTCCCTGCTCCAGGGGATCTTCTCAACCCAGAGGTCCAACCGGGGTCTGCTGCATTGCAGGCTGATTCGTCACTGACTGAGCCACTAGGGAAGCCCCTAAGAAGCAAAGTCGAAGCCCAAATGAAGAAATAAATCAAAATACTAGGGCCCAAGCCTTCCGGATGAAGGGTTTGGCTTATACCTGACCCTCTTTGTGGCTTTTGGGAGCAGCTTCTCCTCAGCTGTGCCCCAAGTCCCAGCAGCTGTCTTGGAGAAGCCACGTGACTGTTAAATAACTACATTACATCAATTAGAAAAAATAAGGAAGGAATGGGAAAAGCATCATTTTTCTGTTCTTCCTCAACTGAGTCAGGTGACACCGATTTAACAGCTGACTTTACTTTTATTTAGTTAAAAACATCAGTTTAGGCCTTTTATGGAATCGTAAAAGAGCAAGATTTCCATTGGGCTCTGATCAGATCGTTCTCCCTACCGATGATCTGGTTGCCTTTCTGAGTCGCTGCTCCCGGGGTGCCTGCAAGAATTCTCTGTACTTGAAACCTACGCGCGGCGGAGGCACCGCCTCCCGGGAGAGGGAGGGTGCAAGAAGGGGGCGGATCCATTTAAATACCATCGAGGCGCGCCTCCCCATTGGCGGCCGGCCTGTCCGTCGCCCGGGGGGGCGGGGCGTCCCGGGGGCTGGAGTGCGGTACCTGGGCGAGACGCGCACCAGAAAAGCCCACGTTGGCCGCTGCGGGCAGCGCGGCTCCGAGAGGCGGGAGCCTGCGAACTCCCGGCGCCGCCGCCGCCGCCGCTCCGCGCCCCGGCCCGCGTCCCTCCCGTTCCCTTCTGCGAGCCGGGGTTAGGCCGGGGTGAGGGCAGCCGAGCCAGCGCGGAACGGAGAGCAGGATCCTCACCGCCTGCGCTCGGGCAGGGGAGCGGCGCGCCGAGATCCCGAGGGCGATCAGGAGACCGAGGGGCGCGAAGTTTGTGAGCGAGAAGGAAGTTCAAGCCTCGCTGAGAGGGTTGGCACCTTGGGACGCCTCGTCGCCACGGCGGGGGCCCTCCGGCGGGGGTACACTCCACGGCGACCGCACGAGCGAGGCGCGGGAGTGCGCGGGGGCGATGCCGGGCATCCCCCGACGCTGGTGAGCCGCCCCGGGAGGGCTGTGCGCCGGCGGCCGGGCCCTAGAATAACTGCGCCCTGACCCGCCCGGCGGCGAGGACGCCCGCTGCAGCGCGGCCCGGACTCGGACGCACCTGGCCTGGACCTTGCGTCTCCGGAGACTTCCGCGGGAGTGCGGGGTTTCCCCTTGCCCCTCCAGTGGTTCTGCGGCGGGGATCGCGTCCCTTCCGCCTCCCTTCCAGCCGGGGCAACTGGGGGCGCCCCAGAGGACCATGAGAGATAAGGACTGAGGCCGGGAAGGGGAAGCGAGCCCGCCGAGAGGTGGCGGGGGGAGCTGTTCACGCCAAGGGCCACCGCGGCCGCACTCCGGCCTCGCTCCGCCGCTCCACGCCTCGCGGGGCCCGCGGGGCCCGCCCGGCCCGGCGGGGATGCTGGGGCGGACGGCGCAGTGGCTGTGCTGGTGGTGGGGGCTGTTGTGCAGCTTCTGCGGGCCCCCTCCCCTGCCCGCCGCCGCCGCCGCCGCCGCCGGGGGGGCGTTGCTGGGGGACGGCGGGAGCCCGGGCCACGCGGAGCGGCCACCCCCGCCGCAGACCTCCTCCTCGGGCTTCCTGTACCGGCGGCTCAAGACGCACGAGAAGCGGGAGATGCAGAAAGAGATCCTGTCGGTGCTGGGGCTCCCGCACCGGCCGCGGCCCCTGCACGGCCTCCCGCAGCCTCCCGCGTTCCCGCAGCAGCAGCCAGCTAGCGGGGAGCCTCCGCCCGGGCGGCTGAAATCTGCGCCCCTTTTCATGCTGGACCTATACAACGCCCTGTCCGCCGACGATGAGGAGGACGGGGCTTCGGACGAGGAGAGGCGGCAGCCCGGGCCCCGCGGAGGAGCCGGCGCGTCCCAGCCCCAGTCCCCATCGCCGGGCGCCGCGCACCCCCTCGGCAGTGGGAGCCTCCTGGCCACCGGGCCTGGCGGCGGCGCGTCCCCGCTGACCAGCGCGCAAGACAGCGCCTTCCTCAACGACGCCGACATGGTCATGAGCTTTGTGAACCTGGGTAAGTATGGTGGCGGGGTGCGTGGGTGGGTAGCGTGACGACCAGAACATCCTCCCCTTTCCAGTCTCCTGGGCGCGGGGCGCGGGGGTGAGAGGGTGGAGGAGCCCCTGGCGCTGGGGGCCCCGACGGGGAAGTGCGGACAGGCCAGCTGCCCTCTCACCACCTGCGCGGCCCGGGGGCAGGAGAGGGGGTGGCACGTGCGCTGCCCGCCGCGGCGGGCTGGGGCGCTGGGTCCCGAACGCGGCGCTGGCTGGCGCCTCTCCGCTAGCCGCCCGAACACAGTCCGCGCTTTTCCCAACTGGTGCCCGGCTCGGGCCCCGTTAACTCGACTGATGGCAGAAAAGTTTGGCCCGAGTGGGGTCAGCTGGGACGGAGAAGGCGCTTCAACACGTTTCCCCTCCTGTTTTGTTCGGCGTCCTCAACGCTCTGAGAGTGCCGGTTCTCCCACCGGGATCTCAGAGAATCCCGGAGCAGTTGAGAACTTTATGAAAGCTGGCGAGTGTGGTTAAGTAGTGCCCACCGATTTGGGGGAGGAGGGATGCACAAGAAAGTCCCGAAAGGACCGCGGGAGGCTCGCCAGCCCCGGCCAGGCTGGGCTCGCGCGGGCTTGGGGTCGCTCCCCTAGTACCCTCGTTCACATGTCTTTGGCCCGAGCCCCCCAAAGGCTGAACTCTTGATCACCTCGGCCCAAGCTGCATGGGCAGAGAAAGGGTGCGGGTTGGGGGCCGGGAGCTGGTCTGAACCGGTTGCCAGGCAACAGAATGGAAATTCAAGGGCGGCTAAATTGGGCTCAGCCACAAATGTTCTGTGGCAAACCCGGACGGAGTCAGAGCTTTTCCCCCTCGCGTCTTCGCATCTGTAAATGAGAACGGCGTGAGGAGGACTTTTCCCAGAATCTGTGCCTCCGATCTGTGCTCCTCTTCATTCATAAACTGACTCAGCGTAGACGCAGCGATGTAGGGGCCGCGCTCTAGGCGGGGAGAAGTGGGGCGCAGGAGCCACGCCCGGAGCGGGCGCAGCCGCGCGGTGGGGTGGGTCTCCGCGGACTTCCCTTCCGGGGCGAGACGCGCGGCTCTGCCCAGGCCCCGAAGTGGGTTCGCAGGCATTGCCAGAGCGGCACCCGCGTCTCCAAGCCACGTCGGAGACGTCCCTTTCTTAAGGACAATCCCCAAGTCAAAAACCTCAAGCGAGTCCTTTCCAAGTATGTCCAGGAGAGAACTCCGCTGAGCTTTGGGGGAAGAAAGTACTGGGGTGGAGGGCCGGGGTTCCGGAGGGTATGGCGCAGGACCACAGATGTCCGAGGGGTGCAGGCATCCTCCTGGGAAATTCCTGATGCAGAATCTCACAGGGACTGGAGGCTCCAGGCCTGTCGGTCTGGCTCCTTGCAGCGCCAGGGGTTCTGATTGGACAGGAATTTTCACAATTTATTGGGATCAAAGCCAAGGTGGAGCCACCTCCAAGAAATATTCTAAGGAAATTCTCATGCCAGTCGGTCAAGCTGGGGCACCGGGGAGGGACCAGCACTGTTCCTTACGCTAACATCTCTGCCGCTTCTGTCTTAGTAAATTCCATCCCCTGCCCTCGCTCTCATTACCCCCCCTCCCCTAATCCCCTAAATTTCTTCCCTTGGAGAAATGTTTCATTGCCTTTTGAGGGTAATCCCCAACTTGAACAAAGTGGGAAGAATAGCACTTGTGACTTCATCAGGGACAGCTGTATCACACTCGCCGGAAAACAGTTCCTAGGCTTAAGGTCGTGGTTCTCCACCTGGCACACGTGATGCTGGGCTGCTCCCCAGAGCAGTTAAGTCAGAATCTTGGTGGCCACGGTTCAGAAGCACTGGCGCGGGAGATCCTGACCTCTGAAGGCAATCAAATCACTCCAGAAGGCAATTAACAGCAATGCTTCCTTATGTCAGCGGCTCCCAAACGTTGCTGTACATGAGAGTCACCTGGGGAGCTTTTAAAGCCTAGATGTCCAGGTGGTGACCCCATCAGTTCAGTGAGTGGCTAAAGCTGGATATCAGTTTTTTTTAAAGATCTTCAGGTGATTCCAATGTTTGGGAACCACTGGTATTTGAAATTGTGAGTTGACCCCAGGCAAGTTTATAAGGCTTGACATTCACTGTTTAGTGACCTCCAAATTCTCCTCACTCCTTGCTTTTCTGAGCTTTCTAGGTCTACAGGTACATGTGGCTTCTGAGCCGCACTGCTTGAAGCTGGTTGTCAACTCTGATCCTGCTAAAGCAACCGTTTAACATAGTATCTCCCTAGGGACTTTACAGAAAGATTTTTAAAGATTCAAAAAATAGCACTGAAAAATTCTAAGAGAATTCAGTAATAGTGTCATTTCAGGCCAGGGACAGGCTGTTATGAAACGAAAGAGACTCCTAGGTATGGAATTCTGCCCCAAGCCCTTCTTAGACTTTCTGATTGCAAGTTATAACTATCTGTAGATCCAATTTTGGACTCCACATGGGTAGAGGAGAAAACCTCTCTAGGTAAGTTGAATCCAAGTCACAAGCTATGCCACCTGCCAGTCAAGCAATGCTATTTAATATTGATCCATTTAGCAGTAGGAAAGGAGGATTTTATTATGAGAGGCTAAAAATGTGATGAAATCTGATTATCATAGCTTTGCTCATTAGGACAGTACATTTGAAGGAAGCAGTTGCTTGTGCTGTGCTAAGTCGCTTCAGTCGTGTCCAACTCTTTGCGACCCTATGGGCTGTATCCCACTGGGTTCCTCTGTCCATGGGGATTCTCCAGGCAAGAATACTGGAGTGGGTTGCCGTGCCCTCCTCCAGGGGATCTTCCTGACCCAGGGATCGAACCTGTCGCTCTTATGACTCCTGAGTTGGCAGGTGGGTTCTTTATCACTAGTGCCACCTGGGAAGCTCAGTAATTGCTTTGCAATGTGGATTCTCTAAATAAGGTTGTTGAGACAATCCACAGATTTCTTCCTACCTGTCAATGGCGTGTTAGCTACTGCATTACATGACTAAAAGAACCCTACAGAAGGTGGCAGGATGGGTTTTAAAGTATTCTTATATACCTGCTGAGTTAGGTAAGTTAGGAATGGAAAGTTACAAAGTAAGTTACAAACTGTAGGTCTAAGGGAATGTATTACATAGTTGTAAACCTCCCTCTTCCCTGGGACAGAGGAGTAACTTATTCATGAAATACATTGAAGACACTTGGAGCCTTGTCAGTCAGAGAGGCATAGTCAGGAAGTATGAATCCACGGGATACACTTCTCTTGCGTATCCCCAAGGCTGGTCATTTGGCCCTCTGCTGTTGGTGTTGACAGTTTTACACTCTGGGTAAGCAGTCTGTTGAGGTGTAACTTCTTTCCTTCTAACCGGCTGGTGTGCAGAGTGCCCGCCAGGCAAGCTGGGTGCTCGTTAAGCTGCACTCAATCCTGGCCATGGGTGCCTTCCTGCTTGTTTCCTGATGCTGAGAATGTCTTGGCAGCCTGATCAGCAAGCCTGCCAATGTGGTGACCTTGGAGAAGTATCCTGAACTATCTGAGGTCTTAGCTTAAACTTCACCTTTGAGAAGAAACCTTCTCTAGCCACTTGGTAAAAACTGGTGTGGCCCCCACCTTCTCTCACTTGTTTACTGTCCCCGTACCCTGTTTATTTCCTTGGTTTCACTTATCACAGGGAGTGTTTTTTCTCCCTTTAAAATTTGCTTACTCACTTTGTCACCCCTCTAGGATGTCAGCCTCAGAAAGCAACCAGGCTTATCCACTGTTGTAACCTAAGTTCCTAACATAATGCTGAGCATACTGAAGGTGCTTAATCAAGAGGGAATGAAAGTAGATATATTCATTTAAAATCTGTATGTCACTAATCTGTTTAGGGTATATCTGACTTTATTCAGCTCATTTACAAGGGGCATACTGATTTCTATTAACTTTTTAACGTATTTATTTGGGCTGAGCTGGGTCTTCATTGCCTCACATTGGCTTTCTCTAGTTTCAGTGAGTGGGGGTGGCTCTTGTTTGGTGCAGGGGCTTCTAACTGCAGTGGTTGCTTCTGCTTGTTGCAGAGCACAGGTGAACGGGTTTAGTGGCCCTGAGGCATGTGGGATCCTTGCAGATGAGGGATTGAACCTGTGTTCCCTGCATTGGCAGGTGGATTCTTAACCACTGGACTAGCAGGAAAGTCCCTACTTGATTTTTTTTTAAACTTTTTGTATTGGGGTATAGCTGATTAACAATGTTGTGATAGTTTCAAATGAACAACAAGAACCTACATGATTTTTATGAAGTAAAACATTTGAGACAAGTGAAGACAGGACATTGAGATTCATCATACCTGATGTATATTTTCAGGCTTAAACAAACAGCTCTCTATTAATATACCCATGTGTATATTAATTCATAGTAGGCATTATGTTTGAGAGTAGTGCAAAGTTTTAGTTAAATCTCTGCATTTTAGACTTTATTTTAAATTAATGAGGTATTGATCTACAGATGCTAGTGAAAGTCACTCAGTCATGTCGAACTCTTTGCGACCCCATGGACCATGGAATTCTCCAGGCCAGGATACTGGAGTGGGTAGCCTTTCCCTTCTCCAGGGGATCTTCCAACCCAGGGATTGAACCCAGGTCTCCTGCATTGCAGGCGGATTCTTTACCAGCTGAGCCACCAGGGAAGCCCACAGATGCTAGGATAAAATGAAATAATAAAAAAAACTCAAATTATGGTCAGAAAAAGGAATCAGCATGTGTTCCTACAAGTAACAAGAGACTTATTGTACTAAAAATACTGGCAATCTTCTGAACAAAATTACTCTTGGGAAACATAAATTAGAAGAAAAATGGAGTTCTCTTTCCTTGGATCTGTAACCAGATACACTGTAGTGTCTTTTTCTTATAGGATCAGTGGGCCTATTTTTCATTTAAGTTGCCTGTGTTTAGGAAGATTTTTGTTAGGAGAAAATAAATCCATGCCTGCAAGCTATTCACAGCAAAAATAGTTTGAAGAACTTGATT